ACTTTTTTTTTTTGGATGTTTGCGCCTCAACATGACGCCGCATTGTGAACAACGCTGGCTGAGGCTCTTCTCGCTGCTGCTGCTGCTGCTCGCGCTGCAAGCTGCGCAGGCCAAGCGCTCAACTGGTAAGTGGAACACCGAAAAAGTGGGCGTGGCAGGAATAAAATCGAGCCAACTGCATGCCACACGCAGGCAAGCAGCAAGAGTCATTGACTGCTAGCGGCATATGCCAAATGGGGGTCGCAAGACTTTGTAGAGCCAGCTGCCACTCACTGAAGAGCGACGAGAAGAGATGTAGTATTATGATAAATATTTATATATAATATAATATATATATATATATAGTTTTGTTGTTGTTAGATTCATAAAAGCAAAGAATTTTGCTCTTCGAATTTCGATATTTTCCAGCTGTTTTAGTAGCTTTTGAAGTTCGCAACTTTTTCAAGTGAAATATAATTCTTTTGCTCTTAATATGTTTGCTTTTTAGGGCTTTTTCAATTAAAATTCAGTCAACAGTTGTTGATGCTAGAACCGAGAGCTGCTAAAATGCTAAAGTAGACAAATTGTTTATCTATCATGTGTTTACACTCGTTAGAATTATAACAACCAATAATCAAAAATATTTATTCAGTTCATTTTTTTAATACAAAAATCGATGATCCTGAAACCAAAAAAAATTTAGAAATTCTTCATAGCTTTTAATATACTTTTTTTCCTTCATATTATCTTTGCCAATTCATGCTACACTGAATCCATTGATAAAAATAATTCTAGGCGATTTAATCCTGAGGGGAGTGTGTTCTTGGGACAAATCCCTCAACTCAGACTTAGCTTCGGTTTCGAGCATTCTGGCTCTCAGTTGTATAAAGCCTGAGTACAGGGTGTATCCAAATCATGCATACCCCACTAAAGTGCTTTACTTGTTTTTACTAAGCTTTGGCTACTTTTTCTTCAAGTCTCTTAAATAATTTTCTTAAAATCATCAATAAAAAAAGCAAGTGTAAATACTTTTGACCGTCACTGTTTATGTGCCACATGTCAGCCAGAGTATTTCGAGTTCGTTCAGCTATACTTAATCGTTCTTTCTGGTTTCTTGACTCACTTTATGTTTTGTAGTTGGTTTTTTGGTCAGTCAATGAACCCCGTTTGCTGCGCTGTTTATGTGGAGCAGTTGCTTGGATCGTTAAAAGCCAATTGCAAATGTTGCAAAATGCATGCGGCAATTAGCGTGTTTGGGAAATTCGTGTAGAACACAACGAACGGGCGCTAAATATAGCACGGCCATCATTAAAAAGCGCTTAGGCTGTTGCCCACAGAGAGACTCGAAGCACGAACTTGAAATAGACTGCCTGAAAAGCCGTTACACACACACGCACACAGCTGGCTAGAAGAGGAAGCACACGCTATGAGTGTGTCAGTCGGTCAGAGTGAGCCTAGAGGGGTCTGCCGGCTGTTGTCTATGCGTGGCTTTTGTTTTCGTTTTCGTTACGCTTACGAACGAAAGACTTAGGCGACAAACTTGATTTCGCTCGCCAGCAAAATAGAATAAATCACGTTTCCCATTGCCGCTACCATTATCATTTTTCTTTTAATTGGTTTTTGTTTTCATTCATGCAGCGAAAACCGAATGCCAAGCAAGACATTCGATCGAAATACCAAATCAAACACAACTCGAGGCGCTGCCAAAAACATTTTTTATATACAAAAAAAAAAACACACACAGAAACTTTCATTTAATTTCTGGTGAAAAGAGCTCACAAAAAAAAGCAAGCAAAAATATATCGTGGTAAAAATTTAGCAATTAACATAGCAGTGAAAATGCAAGCCGGATGTTGGTATGACAATAAAATAAACATGCTTTTAAGATATAGATACAGACATATGTATATGTATATGTGTGTGTTTATAGAGAGATGAGACATTGCTAAATTAGAGATGGATACAGGAAGAGGGAGAGACTTGAATATAATCTGATAAGAATATATGCATTAAAAGTTATTAACAGATATCAGATTTATAGCATGCTATAATATTATTCATGGATGTAATAATGTTTCATAGAAAGCTAAGGTGGGGCTTATAAATCTATAGCAAAAATCTTTTTTAAAAATCTCTAATTATATTCATTTATTAGTCAGTCAAGATACTAGACACAGTTGCCATAAAATCTTCTCATATAGAAAATGCATATCTATTAATGATAATGATTAATGATATATATTCAAAAAATAATAGAGATCTGTAATGTGACGTTTGAAAGTGGAAGTATTTGCGTTTGAAGGCTGTTTCACTTACAGATCAACGCCAGACCAGGAATAGATTAAATGATCAGACTAAGTCTAGGATGAGTTAGAATTTCCTTGTGTGAATTTCCAAAGATCAGAATTACTTTAGTAAGAAAATATCCAAATTTCCTGATATTAAACACTGGCCAACAAGGTTTTCTTTTAAACAAGAAATCAACTTCAGTTTTATGAGTCGGTACGGAGTTTGCTTAGAGAGAAGCAGAGAGAGGATGGAGAGACACCGAGTTAAGGGAAAATTTTGGGGGAAGAGATGGAAAGGAAAAGGGGAATACAGAGAGAGATAGGAGAGCGAGAGGGAGACAGAATGAAAGAAAGTGATGCAGAAGAAATAAAGAAGGAGGCAGGGAGTGAGGGACATAGAGAGATATAGAGAGAGAGAGAGAGAGAGAGCACAGAGGGAGGGAGAAGAGAGGGAGAGAGAGAGAGAGAGAGAGAGAGAGAGAGGGGCAGAGCAAGTAGTGCAGCTGCTCAATAACTTCAGTAAATAACTCTAAAAATGCTGATAGGAAAAGGCTATAGCAAAAGCTAAGTTCTTAACCAGAAATTGATCAAAAGTAAAATATGTTCTATATATATATCATATATTTTATAAGGAGTAAAAACTTTATATGAAAGCATATAATATAAGACACATAGGCTTACGGAAAACTTGACTTTAGCTTAAATAAAATGAAACTTTCGCTTTCCTGATTATTTAAGCGCTGAGTTCCCCTGGCGGATGATCTACTCGCATGTGCCTTGAGGGTCAGCTTAAGCTATTCAAAAGCTCCATTATCGAATGCATTTCGAATGCATTACGTGAACTGTCCAAATGCAATTGGACAGCCAAACGACAGACCAACTAAAACCCAGCGAGCGCGTCGTCTCGACTTTTGCGAAATGCCAAAAGGCAGCGTTGCGTATAAGAAAGACCAGGGGGAAGGGAAGATTGCAGTGGGAGAGGGGGGGCGGTAGTGGGTTAGTTAAGAGCTAAATGATGTGCCACACACGATATTACATAAGCATCGAGCGAGCAATAGACAATGACTGTGCCTTATGTAGAATGCTCAAAGCAAGGCATCCGCCGGCTGGCGTTAATGGTTCAGGCCATTTCAGTTAATTGCGCATACGCCGCTTTGGCCAATAGCAAACGCAATGCGAATACAAAAAAATAAAAAAGTGCTCACAATGTTGGCCCTGAGATAACAAACAAACAACAGTCCACAGCAATCAACAGCTGCCATTTGTGCACAATTTTTAATTTCAATATAGTCGATACTCACTGTACTCATTAAAAATGTATGAGCTGAAATTATTATAAATTTGTATGACTGCTGGCTGCATGCTGCCCATTCATAGAGTACTTTTTTATATCTAGCTGAAAGTTTCTTATAAATCGATACATATCGATTTGCTGCCATGCAGCTGTATGAGCGTGTATCAAACACGTAAACCATTTTGATTATTAAATTTATCATGTAGTTTGTATTATAGTTAATAACAATCAAACTTTGTATAGATTTATCGCTTTATCTAGAGCTACGCCTAAATCGATAAATTTCGATATGTGGCCATTGCATTTTTTTAATTTATACTAAGTGCTATGTTGCTTGAATTTCATTATGTGACTTTTATTATACGCATATTTATCAAGTTTATTGCTGCTTTTACCCAGAATAAAAATCGATAAATATTGATTTCAATCTATGATACAGTGTGTATACCATCTCGAAGATTTCGTGTGCTTTAAGATTTAAATTTAAATAAAACTTATTAATTTTATTAGAAATTTAAAGTTTGCATAAAAATCGATATATATCGATATTTTTCTAGTGCTTATCGATCAATTTGAAAAATTGCTAAATTTACCTTGCTGTATGTATAGCGAATACAAATGTTCCAATTCATATTTTTTGCTATATATATTTGATTAATCGATAAAAGTTGAGTTTATTTTTCTTTTTTTTTTACTCAAAGAACTTAACTGGTAGTATGTTTAAAACTTGTCATACATCTGCTCAAATACTAGTAATAGCGTTAGTCTTTCAACAATTTAAGCAATTTTTCTTTAAATCGATAAATATCGATAAAGCTTTTTAAGCATATTTGAGATATTTGAAGACCTAACCATAGTAGAGTTGATATCTGAATGAAATTGTGCTTAATCTAGTATTGTATTCTACATCACAAAGGCAAGAAAACTTCAATAAACTTACATAGTCAAGTAGTTCCTATATGCTGGGTATTTGCTAGTCGATCACACTCGACTTGCACACACTTACACTTTACTGGCTGCTTGTCGTTTCATTCACAATAAACGCGTCACGTTCGCAAAAAGTGAAACTGACTTTGCAGCTGGGTTTTTTTTACTTTTGCCCAGTTGAATAACACGAAAGTATGCCAAGCGCCCCCGTTGACTCACGCTGCCCCTTGCCCTCTTGCTACCCTCTACTTGCAGCCAATTTAACAGCCTGTCAGCATTTGAGACGCGCCGAGACGCGACGTGCCAAGGCGCTGCAACCAGCGGGAGGCGCCGCAGTGGGCGCGGTGCGCATACCGCGCTGCAGGAAGAGCGGAGAGTTCGAGAGCGTGCAGTGCGCCAATGAGCGCGCTGGCGAGGATTGCTGGTGCATCGACGAGTATGGCGTGGAGCTGCCGGGCAGTCGGAATGCCACACGTGCCGGCGTTCAGTGCCAGGAGCCGTCGCACTGTGCCGCCTCCGCTTGTCGCATGTTTTGTCCATCCGGTTTCGCGCGTGATCCACAAACAGGCTGCTCCGTGTGCCGTTGTCGTGACCCGTGCGATGGTCTGGAGTGTCCGCGTGGCCAAACCTGTCAGCTGCAGGAGGTGCAATGCAAGTCTGAGCCCTGCCCACCGCTGCCCACCTGCAAGAAAGCGCGCTCTCTGGCCAACTACTGTCCGGCCGGATTGCCCTTGGCCATTGAGGACAGCGTCAGGCCTTTCCTGTGCGGCTTGGACGCGGGCAAGCCACAATGCCCGCCACTCTATCAGTGCCTGGTGGAGTCCGGAAATGATTACGGAGTCTGCTGTCCCAGTGCTTTGACCTTTCAGAAGCCCGGCGTCTGCCCGGCCCCAGAACAATCGACTTATACGGAACGCACGGGCTACATGTGCGGCGCGCCCTGCAGCCACGATCTGGAGTGCCGCAATCTGGACAAATGCTGTTTCACCAAGGGCTGCCAGTTCAACTGCCAGCAGCCGCAAAATATGACCGGCTGCCATCAGGCCAAGGCGCTGGCCGATGTGCTGGCGCTGAATGAGCGCGAGGGCCGTGGCTACGTGCCCGACTGCAATGGACCCGGCGGACAGTATACGCCACGGCAGTGCTCGCGCAATGGACTCGTCTGCTGGTGCGTGGATCCTCGCACCGGGCACAAGATCAAGGAGTCCATGGGCGCTGCCAGCAGCGTCAACTGCGATGGCTGGGAGAACATGATCAGTCGCTCCTATGCGCGCAGCTTCCAAATGGAGCAATGCGATACGAACATCTGTGCCGCTGTCTGTGAATACGGATTCAAGGTGAGTTAAGCTGCAAGGCTCATTGGATCTTCCCTAACATCTGCTGTTTGTAGAACGATCACAATGGCTGTCCCACCTGCGAGTGCTCGGAGCCCTGCGAGGGTTTCAAGTGCGCCTTGGGCTCCCATTGCGAGGTCGCCACGGATCCGCTGTGCGAGTCCGGCTCTTCACTGTGCGCCTCTTGGCCGGTTTGCAAGCCGGATCTGGCCTACTCCAATCCCTGCGACATTGGCACCCCGCTCTCGGACACGGTCAGCGGCGAGGTCATGTATTGCTTCGAGGAGCGGCAGGCGCGCAACTTCCAGCCCACGGCTTTCTTCGAACCCGAACCGGAGTCCAAGCAGGGTCGTTCCATGAGCAACCACATCATGTGCCCCGAGCAGTACAAGTGCACCAAACTGCATCGCGAAGCGGAGAGCGTCTGCTGCCCACTGCCGGAACAGACAACGGCCACAGAGGCATCCGAGGAGCAGTCCACGGCGAAACAGCAAACCAGTAAGTTAGCAAGAAAATCAAGCCAATCAATCAATATATATGAAGATTTGTTAGTCAATCATGTAGTCTGTCAGTCAATCAGTCTGTCATTCTGTTTACATTAATCAATCTAGCTCGATCAATCTTTATCAATCATACGATCAGTCAATCAAAGAGCACGCTTATTAGTCACTCAATATCAATGGTTGTTCAATCATTCAATCAGTAATTCTAATTAAATGTCAATCAGTCAATCAGTCAATCAATCAGTCAATTAGATGGTATTTTGGTAGCTCAAGTCAATCAATCAGCCAGTCAAATCAGTTACTCAGCATGTCAATTAGCTAAGCACGCAATCAATCAATCAATCATTCAATCAATCAATTTCACAATATGTAAGCAATAAGTCAATTGTTCAATAAATCAGCCACTCGATCAATCAATCAGTCAATCATTCATTCATTATGATTCAATCATTCAATCAATCAATCAATTTCAACATATGTAAACAACGTCAAAAGTGTATCAATCAGTCATTCATTATCAATCAACAACTTAATCATTCAATCAACAAATCATTATCTCAGTCAGTTAGTCGCTTCAGCAATCCATCATTCAGTCAATCAATGGCTATCAATCAGTCAATCAAACTGTAAATTAGTCAATTGATCATCAGACCATCAATCAGACAATTTGTATATGGATCAGTCGTTCTAGCCACAGTCAATCATCCATCAATCAATCAATTAGTTCGTTAATCAGTCCATTTTCTCAATCAATCAGTCACTTGGGCAATCTTTATGTCAATCAATCAAGCATTTACTCAATTAATAGATCAGTCAATCAATCAATCAGTCAATCATTGGCTATTAATAGGTCAATCAATCAGCCAATTAGTCAGTTGATCATCAGACAATCAATCAGACAACTTGTATATTGATCAGTCGTTCTAGCCACAGTCAATCATCTATCAATCAGTCAATTAGTTCGTTAATCAGTCCATTTTCTCAATCAATCAGTCACTTGGGCAATCTTTGTGCCAATCAATCCAGCACTTACTCAATTAATAGATCAGTCAATCAATCAATCTCGTTCAGTATCTCTGTCATTCAATCAGTCAATCAATCATTTTTATACTTCCTAAATTCTCCTTGCAGTGTGCGAATATCTGCGTGACTTCTCGGAGCGCATGGAGGGCACCGAGGCGGGCATGCAGCTGGCAATGCCAGCACCGCGCTGCACGGACGAGGGCGACTATGCGGGACGGCAGTGTGAGCTGCGCAAGATACGCGTGACGCGTGCGGAGCAACGCCAGATACTGGAGGAGAATACAATCAGGCGCATGCGCATGCTCTTGGCCAGCGCGAAGCGCAGTCGCCGCGACACGGAACGTCTGAAGCTGTATCGCGTGGACGACAGCGCGCTGAAGGTGCAGGTGGCAGCAGGTGGAGCGCGAGCCGTGGTGCCTGTGCAGGCGATGGGACGCAGCGCCAAGGTCATCGACGTGGGCGCCGAGCAGCAGCAGCTTTTCGCAGCGGACTTCAAGAAGGTGGCGACGGCAGCGAAGCGAACCGCAACCGCCGACGAGGACCTGGTCGAGATGGAGGTGGAGCAGTGCTGGTGCGTGGACAGCTTCGGCACCGAAATACCCAAATCGAGGGGCTACAATGTGAGCGACGAGACCTGCCAGCAGCTGCGCGAGCAGCTCGACTGCCTCGACCTCACCTGCCGCATGGGCTGCGAGTACGGCTTCGCCCTCGATCCGCACACCCGTTGCCCGGCCTGCCAGTGCCGTGATCCCTGCGAGAATGTCGACTGCGGCGCGAGCAAAGAGTGCCGCATCGTCGATGTCAGCTGCGAGGGCGAATACTGTCCACCCGTGCCGGCCTGCCTGCCCCGCAAGCCGGGTCAGTGTCCATACTTGGTGCCCCCCGGGCCAACAGACAATCTGGATGCGAATGTCTGCGGCTACGAGTGCCGCACGGACGCCCATTGCGAGGGCACGCGACGCTGCTGCTCGAACGGCTGTGGCACGCAGTGCGTGGAGCCGCAGCTGAAGACCGCCTGCCAGCATCTGCAAGCGATACAGCTGCATCAGAGCTCCGAGCTGGGCATACCGGCGCGCCAGATGAGCATTGCCCAGTGCGATCCGCAGACGGGCAAATGGGAGCAGGTGCAATGCACACCTGACGGCAGCTGCTGGTGCGTCACGGAGCAGGGCGAACAGCTGGCAGGCACACGAGTCAAGGCACCCGCCACGCCCGTCTGCAGAGCCAACTCCAGCTATGCGTGCAGCCCCCTGAAGTGCGCCTCCAGCTGCGACAGTGGCTTCCAAATGGATGAGCATGGCTGCCCGACCTGCAAGTGCCGCGACTATTGCGCGGAGCTAAGCTGCGCCAGCGACGAGGAGTGCCAGCTGATAAGCGTGGAGTGCGTGGACACGCCCTGCCCCAAGATGCCAATCTGTGTGCCCAGACGCGACTCGGTCTGTGCCGAGGGCAAGCCGCTGCAGCAGGGCGAGCAGGACATCAGCTGTGGACCGCACAGCGAGCAGGAGAGCTGCCCCACCACGCACACCTGCCAGCTGAATCCGGTGAGCAATCGCGGCGTCTGCTGCTCCAAGACACGCGACGTCTGCTTCGAGTCAATGGATGCCCTGTGCCTGGCCAGCGCTCACAGCGGGCGCAACGTCACACGCTATCGCTTCAGCCCCAAGGCCAACAAATGTTTGGCCATTCAAATAGATGCAGACGCGCCCACCTGCCAGACCAAGAATCTGTTTCACAACGAGCTCGCTTGCCATGCCGTCTGCCCAGGTGAGTCAGCAGCTGCGGAGCTGATGAAGGCTTCTATACTCACGTCTCTCACTCTCTCTTGCAGTGCTCACGCCTTGCGAACGTCTCAAGTTAAAGAACAGCTTGGCTGCCCAGCGCACTGGTCACTCGTCCGTCTGGTTCCAGCCACGCTGTGATCCCATCACGGGCCACTGGAGTCCCGTGCAGTGCTTGGGCAAGCAGCCAGCACTGGCCACCAGCAGCACACAAATGGTCAGTCGCGCCTTCGCCAGCAGCAGCAGCAGCGTGGGCTCGGAGCAGCTGGCTAGTCCATATGGCGTCTGCTGGTGTGCCGATCGCAAGGGTGCTCCGCTGAAGGGCACGCTGACGCGCGACACCGAGCCCATTTGCAACAGTCGGCAGGCGCGCGCACGCAAGCAGCTGGAGCTGGCTGATCCGCTGATGGAGCAGCTGATCGCGCAGCTAACGCAGCTGAATGACGTGAACAGCCTGGATATGGACTTGGATGAGGTGGAGGCACGCTTGCAGCCCACTGAGCGCGCCTTGGAGCTGACCCACTCGCTGTTGGACTCGCAGCTGTCGGTGGACACGGCGCCCATGCAGCTGAATACGACGCGCTGCCGCGCCATGGCCGCCACAGCCACGTTTCCCGTTAGCTGCGATGCGGCCGGCGCCTTCGAGCCGCTGCAGTGCAGCGAGCGCAGCTGCTGGTGCGTCGATGCCGCCGGCAACCAGCTGCCGGCCACGCACACCTTCCAGCTGGGCGACAGGCACTGCTCGCCTGTGCCCATCGAATCGGTGTCGATCGAGCTGCACATGACCAACAGCTCGGAGCACGGCAGCGGCAGCGTACGCAATGTCTATGATGCCATACGGCGTGAGCTGCAGCAGCTGCTCGGCTCGGCCGTGGAGAATCTGCGCGTGCAGGAGAACTTCGATGGGTCGGTGATTGTGCGCTTCGAGCTGCACAACGAGTCGAAGGTGGACATGGCCTATGCCATCGAGACGGCCATACAATCGGGCGGCTTCCAGCTGCTGGGCAATCGCTTCCAGCCCGATTTGACGCGCTCCCATTTCATACATCGCACCGCTGTGCCCGCCGTGGCTCAAGCGGCCACCGCCGCCACCGACGAATCCGTGCAGTTGGCCATGTTCGTCATGGCCAGCTGCTCGGCCTTCCTCGTCAGCGTCTTCGTCGTCTACGTGATGCTCAAGCGCGGCTGGCACAAGACTGGCGCCATGCACAAGAGCGCCTACGATTACTCAGTGGGCGTGGCTGGTGGCTGTGAGAAGCCATTGGACTACTCGCTGCCCATCTTCGTGCTGGACGACACGCTGCCAGAGAGCATGAAACCGGCGAAGGCGTAGGGCGTGGCATCGATTTTTGTTTAAGTTAGTGCAAAGAATTTGTAAATAAATCTTTCGGGCCGCTTGGAGCTGGAGCAGGAGACGACATTTGCATGGGGGTAGCCAAGCCAACTTATCATAGAAATTTGATATATGTATTTTCTAGACACATAAGACGACTAATTTATGAATAAAGCTTTATGAACGAACTTTTAGGTACTATTTATATTATATTTTATATATTTTATATATTTTATATATTTTATATATTTTATATATTTTATATATTTTATATATTTTATGTATTTTATGTATTTTATGTATTTTAGAATTTATTTTTCAATCGCTTTTCATTCATTTTAGAGAGTAACTGCTAGTCGATCAGCGTCGCATGTAGTGGGAAGTAATTATCCAGAAGGTAAATTTATCTTTTTCCATCTATTTTCCACTAGCAAAGGTGAATTTTGAATAAGTTTTTTATATTTATATTGCCTTAAGTCCAGGCCGTGCAGAGGCTTGGTATTATTTACAGGGTAAGTTTGAGTAGGATACTATCTAGTAGTAAGTCAAATCGTTTACAAATTAATTTTTCTAGCTAAAATTAAAATTCACAGATTTTCCGCTATTTTCCACATTAAACAATGAATTTGCATAGACTGAAGTCATTAAAAATGGGAATTTAGAGTATATTGTATTGGTGCAAATGTTTGTAATAGGCAAATAGAGGCATAGCATAAATCCATAAAAAAAATATATTTTTATATATATATATACTATCTAGTATTAAGTCAACTCATATATGTCTGTCCGTCCGTTTGAACACAGGCTTGCAAATGTAAATTCTAAATACTATAACACATAGTATATCGATAATAATCGATCAATAAATTTGCCACACACTGCGGTATTCGGTATACGGGTATCCTTCTAGTCGAGCATCTCTCAACTAATGCTTTCTCACTTGTTTGACACTTTAAATTATGGCAACTTGCCATTGATATTTATTTGAGTTTTATAACAGTTTATTTTCTTCTGGAAACCCTCTCTAAAAGCTCATATCTCAGCTCAACTTTTGAGCTTTCAATTCCACTTGAATATTTTCAAGTCCCCTAAGCTAGCTTAGCTTTCTTCCTGCTAACTTCTAGTCAAGCATAGGCAACTAGAGAGCTGACAGGGTATATTACAGGGTATAACTCTTAAGTTGTACAACTTTCAGCTACAAATAGATAGCTCAGCGATTTCAACTATATTCCAATAAATATGTCTTTAACCCATCGCCCAGCATCTTCACATATAGAAACACTAAATAAACACAAATTGGTCAGCAAACAGTTTTGATTTTAATATTTAATAATACGTTGTTTCGCATACATATTATACGATAATGATCTGTTTCGATCTGTCACATAAATCATCAATCAATATGTGGGCGCATTCAATAACATTCATAAATTTTGGCTTCACTTTTTATCAATAAATCAATCAGTGTGTGTAAACATTAAATAGATATTCGTAATCGTATTCTATATATATAAATATATATAGGTGTGTGTATGTGTATTTGTATAAGTGTATAGAGTAGGCTATATGCTAAAACGGCGCTGGATCTTAGAGAGCAGCGACCCAACGAGCCGCAAATATCTCGAGAAAAAATTGATATAATTGAAATGAAATCAAATGATATAGTATATGAATATAAATATAAATATATATGTATATGTATATATATTTATACACATAGACAGTTGATAAAAAATGCAATACTCATGGTTACAAATGGAATTGGGGCTTGTGTATAAATGCCATTGCTTGTATGTTCAAAGATCGTAGAGTTAGGATTGTTAAAAAAATGTCTAGCAAAGTATAAAGAGAAAATATATAAATTTATATATAAACCTATTGTTCTTTTATGGACTATTTTTACTTAAGAGCTAGTAACATGCAATTGAAATATTAATATCTTTGAAAAACTTTGTATTTTATGTTTTCTGTTTTAGTTTAGTTTAGTTTAGTAAAGAAGCATGCATTTCTGAATATCATATTGTATAAGTGTGCTAGAGTTAATAATATGTATATGAAGCGCTGTTGTACAGTGAAGACTCTGCCAAGTAAACTTAAAGCTAACAAGTGTATGGCTTATAAAAGAGAAGTTTTCCTCAGCTTTTGATAATTTTCAATAAATATACAAAAAATTATTCATATCAAAATTCAAATACAAAAAACTAATATTTTTTAGTAAAGTTTTTTTAAAGTGAAATAAATTTTTTAAATTTATCTTAAATTTAAAATGTTTAAATATTTTTTATACAATTCAACTTTAAGCGTAAATAAATTTTACAAACTTTTTTAATATCTAAATATTTTTTTCCTTAGCGTAAATGAATCGGAATAGCTAAAATTTAGAAGTTTCTTTAATCTGACTTTAAAATATTTGTATTATTTTGTGAATTAAGTTTCTGATATATGGAATATTTTCTGTTTTTAAAATTTCCTTTTCTAAGTATTATATACACATTTTATAGAATTTGTTATTACAATTTTTGGTTTCCATTTAATTTTTGTAGAAATAGTTTTTTTTATAAAATTTCTTCTTTTTTTTTAGTTTGTTGTTTTTTTCTTCTCGTTTAAAGTAATTTTTGTTTTAAGATTTGCTTGGCTTCATTTAAATTTCATTTCTTTTTTAATACACAAATTGAAATTTTCTTTCTTTTCGAAATATTTGCGTTACATTTTTTCTTTTCATAATTTTTAGTGCAAAAGTTCTTAAATTTCTTTTTCAACATTTTGTTTGGAATTTCAAATTTGCTTCAATAAAAGTTCTTAAACAAAATCAAATATAAAAGTTACAAAGATTTAAGCAAAAATAATTTTAGCTGTCTGTTAGCTGTCAGAGTGTTCACTGTACTTGCGCGTGTGTGTGTGTGTGTGCTTGATTGCATAATAAAATAAAATATTTTTTGGTTATAAATCTTAGAACGAAATGATGAATAAAAAATACATATAAAGATTGTAAGAGAGTCTAAATGGACAGACAATTGGTTGCATCTACTTGGCGCCAGCTGATCCGCCAGCATTGTTGTTGTTGCTGTTGGTATTGTTATTGTTGTTGTTGTTGTTGTGGTTGTTGCGGGCATTTCGCTGAGCATTGCTGAAGCCGCCAAATGGTATGGACGCCCGTTGATCCTCCATGCGACCGCTCTGCACTTTCATGATCAACGAAAAGAAATCCTCGTCTGGCACTGTGGTGCCTCTGCCAGACTGTCCACCTGTTGCAGCACCAGCTCCGGCAGCAGCAGCTGCTGGCGCCTGCATCTGTGGCGCCTCCACATCCATGGTGACATTCGGACGCGGCAATTCGGAACGTTGCTCCTCCAGCCTGGAGCCCTGGCAGCGCATCAGCATGTCCAAAAATGCATCGTCTGGCTGTTGATTGATTGTGGCACTGCGTGCCAATGGCGCATGACCAAGAGCCGGTGGCACGCCCGATGAGGGCGACTTCAAGCCCGGCAAATTCGTGGGGTCGACAAACAGGGAGTTCTGCTGCACCAAGGGTTTCCGTGTGGCGCCCGTGGAGGCAGCAGCAGCAGCAGCTGCAACGCTACCGGCGCTATTTAGCTTAATGGAGCAGCGCTGATCATCCATCCGCTTGGACTGGGAACGCGAGAGCATCTCGAAGAAATCGTCCTCTTTGGCTTTTGTGTGGGCGGCGGCATTTGACGCCTTGTGCTTCTCCTCCTGCAAACGCTTACCATCGGGCGTAATCTTGATCAGATCCAGCTGTTCCATGCTCTGGCGACGCACACGAACCTGCAAAAAACGTCAAAGATTAAACAGCTGTCAGCATGCTTGAGCACAAGCGATTTTACCAAGCGTCCTTGTGAGTTCTCGGAGCCATCCGATTGATGTCCGCTCGCCGAATGCTCCGAGGCGCTGGAGCGTTCGTCATCCTGCGTGGGCGTATGCTCCGCCTCCGGCAAACCCAGCAGCTTGCGTAAATCGGATATATTCACGCGCGCTGTGCTCTCACCCACGGGATCGTGCAGTTCCTTGGCCAGCTGCAAATGGGACTCGGCGAATTCCAAAGACTTCTCATTGTTGCCCATGGCCGAGTGGGCATTGCCCAAAGACCAACAAGCACGCGCCTCTCCAATGCGATCGCCCAACTCTTGGGCAATGGCCAAATGTCGATGATGATACTCAATGGCTGTGGTGAACTCATGGAGCAGCGTATATGTGTTGCCCAAGCTATAGCATGACTGTGCCTCCACCTCACGCTCGCCCAGCTCCATGGCCAGAGCCAAGGTGCGTTTATAATGCTCCGCTGCATCCTCGAACTGGCCCAAAAAGATATGCGAATTCCCTAAATTGCTATTGGCGCGACGTTCCGCGGCGCGATCTCCGAACTCGCGAGCTATGCGCAAGCGCTCTTGATGATGCTCAATGGCTGACTGAAGATTAAGAAGAACTTTAGTGAGATTGAAGGCGGAGAAGCCATTCAAGAGTTAACTTCACCTGAAAGTCGCCCAGGAGATAGTAGGTATTGCCCAGATTGCCACAGGCTCTGCCCTGGGCACCTCTATCGCCCAGATCTCGCATTAGCTGTAGATTCTCCTGATAATATTCGACGGCCTTTGCCAAAGCCTCTTTGACATCGTCACCGAACTTGCCCGGATTACGCTGACCCAAATGCTTGCCCTTGGCATGATAGACATTGCCGAGATTATAGAGCGCTCGGCCTTCTGATAAGCGATCGCCCAGCTGGCGAGCGAGTGTTAGATGACGATCACAGCAAATCGCTGCCTCGTCAAAGCGACCCATTACTTTGAGTGTGTTGCCCAGATTGCCAGAGGATTTGGCCTCGCCCAGTTTGTCGTTCATTGATTTGGCTAGAGTTAAATCGTGCTTGTGATATTGCATGGCTTTGGCATAGTCGCCCAAGTAGAAATACGCATTGCCCAGCTGTGAATAGATGGCGGATAGGGTGCGCAGATCGTCGGTGCCCGCTTGGATGGCTGCTTGAAAGAAGGCAACGCCCGCTCGGCAATCGCCTGCCTTGCAGAGACGTTCGCCTTCGAGCGCTAGCTCCAGGCACATGCTGGAGCCGCCGCCATCGGAGCCGTGATGCGAATTGGAGTCGGGACCGCCGCCAATGCCCATTGTGGAAACATTTTCCGCTGAGGCGGAGAGCGAGGACATTGCTTTGTTTAAATTTTCTCCTTTTTACTACCCGTAAAAACAGTTTAAACGAATGCTAGATTTGACTGCGGTACACGCAGAGTTTCTCTTGCCACTTTGCTCTTAATTAACTTAATTTGAACACTTTTTTTACCGTTTTGCAAATCAATTGGGTTTCGTTAATTTCATTCTGATTCACTTTGCCAGTCGATTAATTGTCATCGAATTAAGCGTTGCCATCTAACTGACGCATAGTCATGCTGCCACATCTACGAAATATAATTATGAAAAATCACTTAGGTGGTATATTTATTATAACTTATAAGTCTAATATTTACAATATGTCTAAGTTATGTGTTAATTATTTATTTATATTCGAAAATATGTAATTTTAAACATATCGATAGAGGTTACTCGAACAGTTTTTAGCTGGCATTTAACAACACTGTACGCAAGACTGAACGTATAGCGACCCCTTTAAAGATGGCGTCACTTTCTACTGTGTCTGTGTGAACAAACCAAGTTGCCGCTTGACAAAATTGAAATTTTTTGGCATAAAATATTATCACCGGCTGCACTAAATAGTCGCAAAGTGTACATGAAAGTGCCAGGAATGATTTTCAATTGAAATAGTGGCAGGTGTCTGAGCCATTGTCAGTGTAAATCACAAACGAAAAACAAAAAGAGTTGAACCCAACGCAAAACGCACTGTGAAAAAATGCGAATGTCGTCGTCGTCGTCGTTGCTGCTGTCGCTGTCGTCGCCGCTTTGAGTGTACGTGCGCCGCGTTTTGCACGGCAGCTGCGCTGCTATCAAAAATTAAAGGTGTGAATTTAATTAATATAAAACGTGGTGTCCTAACATAGATCAAATTATTGCAGCAAGCCTATTGCTTATCCGGACAATATTGTCAGGAATGTGCTAAAATTATATAAAAAATTTGAAGTAAGCAAATAAGGCAAAATAACTGTGCCCTGTGTTCAAATTCTGTGAGCGAGTGGGAGCGAAAGAGCAAAGAGAGTACGCGCAGTATCACACTCACGCTCAAGCATAAGCACGGGAGAGCGGAAAACAATCATTTGTGGTGAGTGTTGTTGTTGTTGTTGCCAGGATGATATTTAAACATTTTTATTTGCGGACCGGCTTAAATTTAACTGTAACAAATTCGCTGAAAGCTAATTTAATAACTATTTGACCATTTGACGTGCTATTTTTAGAGTAATACATGCTTAAGTGTTTTCCTTTCTATTTTCTGCAATTTTTCTTCTGTTTTAAGCGAACGAAAAGTGTTTCATATGCATGTACAGATGTTATTTCATTGCAAACTCACCACACCCATACTGGTGAGCAATTTGGAGCTCGCTCACTATATATAAATATGTATATGTGTGTTTGTGCTAGTGTTAGTGATTCACAAAAGCAACAACCCCAACATATTATCTCTACTACAAATTTTTGCTACTTTTACTATACAGCAACAACAAGAGAAACGCGATTGCAGCTGCTTCAGCTGCTGTTGCTGTTTCTTGTACTTCTTCACCTGTCGTCGGCATCAGTGTTGCCGCATTGAATAAAAAATAAAGAACTGATGTAGCTGCCGCTTATTACGGTTCTTTTTCTTTCGTTCTTTTTTTACTCTGTCTGTTCTTCGTTTGCCAAGTGCTCTTTCTATTTCTTGTGTCTTTGCTTTGGTCTCCGTTTCGTGATGTAGAGCTCTCGAGCTTTAGGGGAGACACATATAATCATACACACATACACACACTTACATATTCATACATACACACACGCATACGCTCCCAAATACATGCATACAGAAGCAGCAGCAGAGAGCGCAAACCGAAAAAAAAACGACTTTCTTTGTGCCGCAGCAGCAGCGGCGCCAGCGGCAGCGATGTCGCCGTCGTTTTAGTTGCCGTACGTCGCTGTCGTCGTCGGTTGGGCGCAAGAAAACCGAGTGCTTAGAAGCATATTAAAGAAAAGAAAAGAAGAAGAAAAAACTGTTAAAGCTAAACATATTTTGCAAATATCAATATCTACAACTAAATGCAATTAAATGTATAAGTATGTGTGTCCACTAAAATACCTATACACATAATTACAAACGGAATACATACACACATACACACTTATGCTAATGCACGTAATGGGCCGGCGGCAACAATTGAATTTCGTTTGTGCTTTCAATACATATATACATATGTTGTATATATATATATATATGTATATATATGTATATATATATAAATATTTTTTTACTTTTCAAAGTATATTATTTTTAGAATATCGATTTTGTTGGCTACCCGCAGCCAGAGCAAAGCAACCAGCAGCAGCAGCCAACACTATATATATGAGTGTGTATGTGCGAGATTTTCTGTGTACGAGTAAATATCTGTGCGTGTGTGTGTCACAGGCAATAAAGAATGTGTTAAGATTATGAGCATAACTCATATAGACAAATCGTTACCTAACTGCCGTGCAAAAAATATATATATGTACATACAAATATATATATATATATATGTACATATGTACATATATATATAGTGAATAATATTTAAATTGTCTCTTTTTTCAATTCATTCGGCGATCAAAGCAACTGCGTCTCGCTCCTCTCTCGCTCTCTCTCACTGTCTTAGCTGTCATTGCTGCTAGCACACGTCGTCATTCTTATTGGCATTTTTTTGTATTCGTATTTGATTCTTATATTTCACCTACATTATTACCATACACTCGCCAACACACACATGTGAGCGGCAGACACTCAAACAAACACACACACGCACGCTCATAATTCGCTGCTGCTGCTGTGTTTTGCTTTTCGCCATTTGCTTTTAGCATCGCATTCGCTTTAACAAGATCTCTGTGACGACTGCCCTACGCCCACCCGTCGCCGTCGCCTTTACCGTCAACGTTGCCGTTGCCGTTGCCCACGTCGCAGTCGCAGTTGCCGTCGCAGTCGCGCAGTTGCTTTTAATTTACATGTGTTGTTTTGCTGCCGTCTCCCCATACGCACATATACAGATGCAAAAATGAAAAAAGTGCAACTTTATCACTCGGGCGTAAAATTGAAATTTGTGTTATTGTTGTTGTTTTTTTTAACCAAGTAATGACAAAATCATTTTTGCTATGATATATATATTTATATATTACAAATAATTGATTGCAATATACTAAGGTATGTCAAATTATTTATTTACATATAAAATATATGTGGGAGAATGTGGAACGGAAGTATCCACCTGCCCACAGAGGGCGCTCCATTTTTGAGAAGCCATTTGTTCTATTTCCGTTTAATTCCAATTGGAATACAAAAAGAACGGGTTCTAATTGACTGAGTGACGAACCTGCGCTCGCCCAATTAACAAGTTTCGATTGAGCTGTTACTGAAAACGTGCAGCGCTGCCAGATCCGTACAAAATTTCACACATTTGTGTGAAATGTGCTTGAAATACATTTTGACTGTATGTGCGCACACACTTACACACAGACGCAGCCACAGTCACATTTAGCTATCAATTTATCTATGTCTACTGCGTTTCTTTTTATTTTTATTTATAATAATTACATTCGAAAATATAAAATTTGTATATGTCGTCACATTGAACGTGACTTTAGCTCGCAGGTGTTGACATTAGCAATTGCAAATGATTTTTATTTTTATTGCCTGACTGCGCAATCAATTTGGAAACACATAGAGATGACACTCAAATGATAATTTACATGGGTATATCGATTTTGGTTATATATTCAATATTTGCTGTACAAGTTATTCAATGGTCAATTGAGATAAAATAATAAATAACTATTTTGATTGTGGATTAACTGCTAAGCTTCTCAAGTTTCTCTCTATGTTTTCTCAAACTATGGCTAATTACTAAACTCAGTTCAACATAACTCAAAATCCTTAAATGCCAAAGTGTATAGCCTTAACTAGCTTTAAACTGTTGGCTTTCTATTTTTCTTGCTAGCTTAGCTCTGAATTCTGTAGCAAACGATCCAACTGGGAAAATGTCCAATTGGACATTAATTACCCTAATCTGAGTGCACTGTCTATCTAGATCCATTGAACACTCAAAAAAGTAATTGCAGCTTATGAGGATGATTTCTCTTACTAGTACTATTAATGTAATGTTTGTGTTATTTATTATATGAGTAAATAATATTTTGTATACTATAGAAAACACTTCAAATTTGAAGTGCAAACGCAAACGAGTATTATGCAGTCGGTCTTGCCTGACTGCAATGTTCTTGCTTGTTTTTTTCGTTAGGTTTATATTTGGCTTTAGTTTCGCATTTGTTATTGCTATTTTTATTTCAGCACATTATTTAGTTGTTGTTTTTTGTTTTTGTTTGTTGTACCTGTATTGCGCGCCCGCTCATAAAAAACTCAATTCCCTAAATTCGTAGTCGACCCAATTTTTCATTTCACACTCGTACTTTGTGTTCATGTTTACGCTCAGCCTCTGATTGTATATATACGCACGAGTGTGTCTGTGTGTGTGGGCGTGTGTGTGCACCACATGCAATTCACTTGCGCATATTTCTTTCAACTCCAATACGAGAAATATGCAATTGAATTGCTCTTCACAAATATAAACAACGAAATATGTTCAGAAATGTTCAATAAATTGCAGCTTTATATATATACATACATTTATACATATGTATATGTATCCAGTTACCATTAAATTAATACGCAACACAGTGGAATTTCAATCAGTTTGTTTGTTGTTTGCTTTGCATTAATTGAAAAAGTTTTTATAAATTACACGTAATACGAAAAATATTTAATAGAAATACATTTTTACAAACATTTCATTCTATGTTTTTGTTGTTATTTTGAACGTTGCATTGTGATATATATGAAAAAGGAGCTTATTCCAACTAGAATGTTACTTTTCTCATAGGGCTCTATCAAAATTCCATTTGTAAGCAATTTAAATCCTTCATTAATTATATTTTTGAAGTCTTTTATTAATGCAAAGTAAAAGTAAAACTGCAATGAAACTGATTACAGGGTAACTGCAAGTCGAACCTGCCATACAGTTCATTCGAATTTGATTATTGGCGAATGCAATTTATACAAAAAATCTTTAAATAATATATTGTTTATGTGGTATTTTAAAGAAATGCCTTTCTATGCGCTTTTCAGTTGTATCTTATGTTAACTCAATTAGTGTTGGTGTATAATGTGGGACTACATTATGTGTGTAGATATTCCTCTATATCCAATTGTTGTGGTATGCAGGGTAGCTGCTAGTCGATCATGGTCTTAGTTTAGCCTTGTTTTAATATTGCCTTTGTTGTTCTCTTTAACGCTATATGAAACATGCTAAAAATCAGCTGTCAGACGGACATGCATTAGTGCTATGAAAAGCTATTAGGTGAAACACAGCTACACACACTCTCAGACACCCACACCAACACACACGCACACACAACACAATTAATGACGTTTTTTCTCTACGTTCCGCTCGTGAATTAATTTTAGATGTGGCAGCAATTCGAATACGGAAAATGTAGAAAAATGCTTAAAATATTGCTTCTTTTGGGGCTAATTTAGCCAAAACTTTGCTTCTTCAGCTTCAAGTGCAATTTTTATTTTGAGAATAAATTTCTTAAATTAATATGCGCTTATTTTTAGAATTAATAATTTAAATTTTTGTTCGGATGCCAGCTGCGTGAAATCATGAATGGCCTTCAAATTAAGTGAAAAGAGTGAAAGAGAGAAGCAGAGACTGAGCATGTATATAAGGGTGTGAGGGAGAGCACAGAAGTCAAGTGCAATTGGAATTGAGCTGAAATGATTGAGCAAAGAAAGAAGCTCAGTTTCTTAAATCAAAGAAATTAAATTTAATTAAATTATGCTTAGCATATAGCACATTGGCTGTTAATTAATTTTTTTTTAAATATTTTTTTTTTCCATTGTGATATATTGTGTTTATTTTGCCGGTGCCACGCCTCTGAGGCTTGGCATTGGGCTTCATATCTTATCTAACTCAAATTTTATCTGTCGCATAGGCTTTATGAATTGTGTTCATTAGCTCGCTGGATGGCAGCCACGCCCTCGCAACACCCCCTCAT